TGACTGCTGAGCGTGCAGATATTCTATTTATTTATTTTTTATTTTTATTTTTTTGCCTAATATACAAAGGGAAAGTTCGGGTATTTTGAAGCGAGGGGTCTTGTAGAAAAGGCAGCCAACATCCTATTGGTTGTAGATAACTTTTTGAACAACCTTGGAGAAATAGTTTAACAGAAATCACAGGCTGTGTCTCAATTCAGGGGCTGCATCCTTCAAAAGTTCGATATTGTTGGCCACCCAACCTGTGGGCTCCTTCTCATGTGTCTGATGAAAGGGGTCTACTAAACCCCCAAAAAATGAAGGCTACATCTGAGCATCCTTCCCAGCCTAGGATATCTCAGTATTCATCGCACCGTCAGCAAACTAAACMGAACAAAACAAAACAAAAATTTAATTAAAAAATAAAATGAAATTCAGGTCATCGCACACATGCTGCCATGCACTGGAGTTTAGTTTTAAAAGAAAATTTGGCAGTTTTCTTAAAACATTTGCACATTCTTTCAGCCTTCTGATTTATTTTCCTGTTTTATTTTGTTTGTTTGTTTTTTTGCAGGAGAACTTCACTCCAGAGTGTAAGTTTAAAGAGAGCGTGTTTGAGAACTACTACGTTACGTACTCGTCCATGCTGTACCGTCAGACGCAGTCTGGACGCTCCTGGTATATCGGCATCAACCGTGACGGTCAGATTATGAAGGGCAACCGGGTGAAGAAGACCAAGGGAGCCGCACATTTCCTGCCTAAAGTTATAGAAGGTTTGTGTCTCGTCAGTTACTTTAGCTCTTTTTTTTTAGTTSCTGTTTATCAGCTGTAGTTATTTTATCTTTGTTACACAGTTGCGATGTACAAGGAGCCGTCGCTTCACGAGCTCGCCAGTGAGCCGGTSAGTCCCCCTCGGAAGGCGGCAAAGACTTCAGATTCTCCATCCCTGAAGAATGGACGGAGGGAATCTGCCAAGGCTGATGCCTCCTAGCASAGGAGACTGAGGGTGGGACAGAGGGCGCAAGTGACACTGGGAACTCAGCTGCCCATGATGCACTGAGGGTGGCTAAAGGAACAGCACTCAATGGCCACCACGCTCCAGAAGTGCACTACAAGATGCTGAGGGTTAGAGAACCGAGAAGGCCGAGAGAGGAGTCCCTGCCCCCTCCCAAAGAAAAGCCCAGGGTTTAAGAAAAGGCCCTGCCCCCACCTCCTGTTACACTCTACCCCAGTGAAACCTCACAGGTTCCTGCATAATTTTTCTTTTGGCAAAGACAAGCTTTTTGTCTCTTCTTACACACTTTGTGTAACACATTATTGACCACTCTTGATTCAGTATCATAGTCCTCACCCATGGACCCATTTTGGGACCCAAAGTTGGTGACAGCGTGGCTCAGGTCAGCCCTCAACCCAGCACTTTAACAACAGCTAATCACCAGGGCAAACTAAAGCTCACAGCTACATGAGTCTGGGTCAGATCACACCAGCGGGCCAATATGGAAAATAATTATAATTAGTTAATCTACACTGGTTCTGTCACATGGTGTTTAAAATTGGAATCACACCAACAAAAAGCAACATTCTGCCTGCCAGGATGATATTAATGCTGGATTTGTGAGATCTGACTCAGAAATGGTGCTGATACATCTGATCAGGGTAAAATCAGGATCCTAGAAAGGAGGAAAAGTAAAAAAAAAAAGCCCTACAAAATAAAATAATATGGTTGAATAACAAAATTGTTTTAAAATTAAACAAAATGATCTAAATAAATCTAAAAACATACATTTAAAAGTGTAGATAGTTTCTACAAAAATAATTCTCGGAAGATGAGCCATAAAATCCACATGCAATACTAAAAAGTTTGGAACTTTAACTAAAAGGATTAAAATTGTGCAAATATTTTTTATTGCATAAAACATAAAATAAAATCTTAATAAATAAATAAATGTGATTTGTGGGGAAAAGTAGCAGTAATACACTGAAATATCAGATTAATTCCTGGTTGTGTTTGGATTTTAATATCTGAAAAAGTAAAGTGATGAACGTTTAGACTTAATTCTCCCTCTTCTGCCAGCATGAAAGCAGGTTTGAAGGCCAACATTAGAGCCTGTGAGCTGCAGCGCTTGTTATTCTGAYGATGTCTGGCAGCTTATCCACTCACTTGCTATATCAAATCACCTTGGACGAATTGCCCCTCAAAAAAAATGGACTTGTCTGAGTGAATGTCTTGGTGTGTTTGTGCTCTAACCCCTGTGAGTGGATGGACTGTAAGAGTCTCCGTGTGTGTGTGTGTGAGAATGAGGCAGAGGAACTGTGGGTAATCTCTTCTGTGTCCTTCACAGTGAGCGCAGCGTCGTGTCTCTGATGTGTCTGTGAGGAAGTGAAACTTCATCCATCTTGTGAACCGTTTTCCCTGACATTTAGTCCCGTATACGTTCTAAAATAGCACGGACTGGGATTTTCTGGGCCACTTTGTGCTTGAAGGTAGTTCATTATTGAATGGATGATTTCTTCGCGCGGTCAGTCAACGGTTTTGATTGTTTTCTCGATGAGTTAAAGGCCTGGCATTCCTCGAAGGAACGTCTATCGCCTGCCAGATTCCGAGCCAGAGTTTTATACTCAGATCATCTTATGGGAAATGACAGTTGTACACTGCAAAAACTGTCCATCTTACCAAGTTTTTAAGTCTTATATCCAGCCAAAAAGTATTTTTGATCTTGTTTTAAGACTGATTTACTAAACAAGAACTGATTGTGTAAGAATAATAATCTTGTTTTCAGAATATGTAAGATTATTTGCCTTGTTAGCCTAAAAATTTGATTCAAATTAAGTGAAAATTTTCTGCCAATGGAGTAGGAAAATTTTACTTGGCAAGGTTCTTTAAATAAGAAAAAATTGAGTCAAATCAAG